CATTTGGCCTTTTGTGAACTGTTGGTGCAAATTTTTGTCAAATGACCTCCCGGACGATGATGTAAACCTGATTATAATTATTAGTCGACTTTGAAAATATAACTGAGCAATGTATCAACACCAAAATTAGAACGACCCGGTCCAAGAAGTAATTGGACCATTCGAAGTAACCAATTAGGTTGTGTTGCTCATGGGCTGATTATCTACCTACTTGGATGGCGCCGATTATCTACCTACTTGGATGGCTAGTATTACTAGAGGCCCATACTACAAACCATTAACTCCTTATTGGGACCATGACCCTTTAACTAAACCTAATGGACTTACCTTATTGGGCAATAGTCTACCTATATATTCTTGTGATATACATGGCCTCTAAAAGACTTGTCTCCTTCTTGAGCATTCTTCATGTTTTCTCTCTGCGGGTTCTCTCTGCCTCTTTCCACCGTCCTTTTGTGGTGACTTTTGTGGTGCTCTCTAAGTGAGATAACATCTAGCAACCGTATATGGAAACTTAGTGGTATTCTTGGATCGTTTGATTGGTGGTGTTACATTAGGTTTTGGTAAATTGAGCCAATAAAGCCTTGGTAGTTGTTGATTGAAGACTCCACATCTAGTATCAGAGCCTAGGTGGTGAAATCTAGCAAAAATTTTGGCCAAAATTGAGAGAAAAGGCCTATTTATTCAAAGGGCCGAATCTGTAATTCTCAATTACTCCCAAACGCGACTTCCGTTGGACAAACGGAGGCGGACCCATAACCAGCAGGTTGAGGCACCCCCTTGTGAGGCAGCGACGGCGTGTGGAGCATTTTTTGGCAAGATTTTTTTTAGGTAAAATACTTATTTTAACATTTTGAACGTACTGGTGTGTTTTATTTAGTGTTTCAGGTTATACAGGAAAATTCGGACGATCCTCTGGACATCAATATGCGTTTGTGGTTGATTGAAATTGGTATGTTTGCTGAATCTTTAGGATGAATAGTGGTGGCCCTAAAGGAGCAAATTCAAATTTCTCCACTTTATGGACTCAGATAGGTCCGCTATTGAAATTGGCTTAACATGTTTAATTTTCAGCATTAGTGCGTTACCGTGTAGGGATGACAATACAGTTGTAGTTACCATGAAGGGGGTAACATTGCTTGTGCTAGAAACTAGGATTAATTGCTCTAACTGTTTGATTGAGTACCTTTTTTTTTTTGGTTAAATCAGCATTTTGTTCTTAGAGTTATAATTGCAATAAAACTTGTTATCTGTTAGACATATCTTTTTGTTGACTGTTATTTCCACTGCTTATTAATTCTGTTAGAATACTGAGACCTTACTCGTTCGAACACTCGACCAAGAGTCTTACGAAATCTTGCGAATTTATAATAGAGTATATTGTCTGTTACCTTAGGACTACTTTGTGTGGTTTGACATTGTTTTGTGCATTTTTTGTTGTTCTGTGAAAATGAAACTCAAAACTTTGATTTGGCGATTTTTAAGGAAAAAGATGATTTTTCAATCTGGCAACAAAAAATGAAGGGTATTTTTGGTCAAACAATAAGTTTCAAAAACTATTGAAGGCAATTTCCCAACTGATTTTTCAAAAGAACAAAAGGAAGAAGTCGATGAGCTTGCTTATACCTCAATCATTTTACACTTGTCTGACGTCATTTTGAGAAAGGTAGGTTAACTAAAAACTACCAAAGAACTTTGGAAACAATTGGAAGATTTGTATTTGCTCAAATCTACACCGAACAAACTTAACCTACTTGAACATTTTTCAGCTTTAAAATGGATTTATTAAAGGATCTCGATGACAATTTAGATATGTTTAACAAATTGGTGCAAGTTATTATTAAGACTGTGTCTGAAACTTATAAGGTCATAATCTTGCTCAATTCTATTCCTGACTCATATAAAGAAGTTAAAAACGTCATTATGTATGGTAGGGACACCTTGATGCCTGAAATTGTCATAGATTTTCTTAGAAGTAAAGTGATGGAAATTATGCCCGAAAAATATGATAAGAGAAGCGGTGAGTTACATATGATGCGGGGTAGAACTCAATTTAGGCAAAACAGTCATGATAGATACCAAAGTAGTGGCGAATCAAGTAGTAATAGATGGAAGAAGAATGACATGGATAGGTCTAGTTGGAAGTCTAGAACGAAGGCTAGAAAATGCTACAGCTGTGGGAACATAGGGCATTTTATAAAAGATTACCATAAGGAGAAGGGTGAGCTAAAGGTTAACGAGAGAGATGAGGTCAACGTGTTATCCTTTGCTTTCGATATAGATGATGATGAGGTCTATATGATTACAAGTCTTGTTGCATATACTATTGAATTGAATCTAACTGCCAATTCTCACATGCATGAGTGGATACTAGATTTTGGTGCATCTTTTCATGTAACATCTGAAAAGAGTTGGTTTGAAAACGTGCATGAATGTAATACTGTGTGTGTTGTGCTGTGTGATAATGACATTTAAATCACTATAAGAAAAGTGATTAGAGGTTTGAACTCCTTTATCTCTTTGCCAAGGTTAATCACAAACATACATGGCATAATAAGCTTGCATACATAGGCATTAAGGGACTTTAGCTTCTTAATGAAAAATGTACATTTGGTAATGTCTGTGTGTCTGATTTGTCATCCTGTGATCACTGTGTGCTCAGTATGCATCATAAAACATCTTTCTCCACTAGTGTTCATAAAACTAAATGCATTACTTGAATATTTACACTCTGATCTGTGGGGTCCTATTAGCAATCCCACATCGGATGGTAATAGGTATTTCCTGTCTATTATAAATGACTATACTAGGAAAGTGTGGGTCTATCTTCTGAAAGATAAATTTGACACTTTCCACAACTTTAATAACTGGAAGAGACAAGTGGAAACTAAACTGACAAAAGGATCAAATTTCTTAGGATAGATAATGGCCTAGAATTTTGTAACACTGAATTTGATAGTATTGTAAAGAAAATGGAATAACAAGGCATAAGACGGTCCCTTACACTCCCCCAACAAAACAAGGTAGTGGAAAGGATGAATAAAACTATACTTGATAAAGTGCGTTGCATGATGTTAAGTTATGATGTCCCAAAGTCATTTTAAGGTGAAGTTATTATGACTGCTTGTTATTTGATTAATTTGACTCCATCTGTTGTTTTAAATGGTGATACTCCTAATGAGAGGTGGTATGGAAAATCGAGTAATTACTCTATACTTAGAACCTTTGGCTGTGCTATTTTTTTCCATCAAAGTGAGGGTAAGTTTGAACCTAGAGCTAAAAAATGTGTCTTTCTAGGATACTCCGAGGGTATTAAGAGTTACAAGTTATGGGATAAAAGCCAAAAGGAGATTAAGACCATCGTAAGTAGGGATGTCACATTTAACGATGGTGAGATGCCTTATCTTAAAGGTGAACCCGAAGCTGTGAGTGAAACTGAACCAGGTAAAAAGACAGGTCGATTTAAGGTGGAGTTAGGAAATCTTAGCATATATGTCCCTACCACTCCAAATAAGGTGGAGAATAGAGATGAAATAGTGATAGAAGAGCACCCTGAGGAAGAAAATCATTTAGCAAACTACAACTTAGTTAAGGATAGAGAGAAGAGACAAATGAGAGAGCCTAGGATATTCGGATATGAATTGAAGTTAGTTTTCAGCCATGCTAGTTATGAAGAACTAGTTGATAGGAACCAAAAACCTTTTGAGGAGGCAATGAAGAGTGAACAATCCAAATGGTAGCTTAAGACAATGAAAGAGGAGATGAGTTCTCTAGAGAAGAATCATAAATGGGAGCTAGTACCTAGACTTAAGAATAAATCGACCGTCGATTGTAAATGGGTCTTTGAGGTTAAAGAAGGTACCAATAGCTCGAAGCCCTTAAGATTTAAGGCTGAGTTAGTGGCTAAAGGCTATACACAAAAAGAGGGTATTGATTATAATGAGATATTCTCACTAGCTGTTAAGTACACTATTATTAGGGTCATGATTGCATTGGTTGCACATTTTGATTGTGAACTTGAACAGCTTGATGTAAAAATTGCTTTTTTACATGGTAAGTTTGACAAACAAATTTTTATGAATCAACCAAAAGGTTTTAAGGATAAGCTAAAGCCTGATCATGTGTGTTTTCTCAAAAGATCCCTGTATGGCTTGAAATAGTCATATAGACAATGATACAAGAGATTTGACTCTTTTGTACTCACTATAGAGTTCCAATGAAGTAAGTTCGACTATTGTTTGTATTTTCAATACAATAAGACTGATAATAATTATTTATTTTTGTTGCTCATGTAGACGATATGTTTTTAATTGGCTTATTATCTAAGTAGATAAACAACATAAAGGTAAAGTTAAGTGGTGAATTTGATATAAAACACCTAGGTAAGACTAAGAGAATTCTAGGCATGAAAATTGAAAGAGATTGATCAAATTTTGATTTGTTTTTGCATCAGTCTCCGTATATTTCTAAAGTGTTTAAGAAATTTGCACTACACCAAAAAATCATCATTCGCGACACATAAAAGGCAACATTTGGTAGTTAAGTGTTGATAAAGGGGTCTACAGCAACATTTTAATAAGCGAATGTTGCCATTAATTAACAAAATTGAGCTTTGGTAACATTTTGTAAATAGATGTTGCTAATGTCACATTTCGTAACATTTATTAAATGTTGCGAAATTTTTTAGTTTTTGCAATATTTGTTAAACGTTGCAAAATCTTAATTTTATAGCAATGTTTAATGAATGTTGCTGAAACTCACTTTTTACAACGTTCGCTGGCCGTTGCAAAAAGTTCACCTTTTGCAATGTTTATTGAACATTGCGAAAAATGAAACTTTTCGCAATGTTCAATAAACGTTGCGAAAACATTACTTTTTGCAACAGCCAATGAAAGTTGTAAAAAGTAAAATCTTTTAAACTTTTTGCAACGTTCAATAAATGTTGCGAAAACATTAAAATCGCCCGACCTGACCAGATTCGACCTGTTTAGTTTAAAGAAAAAACTCTGAAGTTCAATCAAAAGCCACTCACTCACGTGACTCAACATCCCTAACCTATCTTCCATGTCTCTCTCACGCCCACAGTCCCACGGCGCGGCCTCTCTAATTTTCTCACCAAATCATCGATATTGCCCAACGTCGATAGCCGATTTTCCATGGTCAAGGGTCGTTGGTAAATCCTCTCTTAATTTCATGCTTTTTCCATTGATTTTCATTTGGTTGATTGGTTCTTTCCAATTGTACTTTGAGTATTCTTTATTTTGTCTGTGCGGTTTCAATTGGATCATCTCTAAGTCTTGTATCTGCATAGGTTATATGGAGACCGAAGACCCAGAAGAATTTTTAGAAAGAGAAAGAAATAATTTCGGAGGAAGAGAGGAATTTAGAGAAAGAATGATTTAGATTTGAATTGTGGTGACCGAAGACCCAGAAAAACAGGCGCCCAATAGTCGTCTCCAAGTTTTTTTTTCATCGTTTTGGGCAAGTCTTGGAGGGGTTTTTGGTAGTCCGAATAACGATCAAGAAGAAAAAGAAGAAGATTTAGAAATGGCTTCAAAAGCTGTTGTTAAAGAACAACCCAGAGGCGACAATAGTAAGTGAAAATAATCCAATTTTGTAACATCGATCATAGATTCATTCTTTGCTATTTCCTTTTTAATGGATAATGGAGGGTCTCTTATGGTGATTTGGACTGAGTTTTGAAGGGATTATTTATCAATTTTGGGATGCACTATTTTTTCTTTCTTTACGTTGATTAATTACTGCTGCAGACCAATCAGACCAAAAGATTATTATCAATTAAGTTAGGTTATTTAAGTGTAATATGATAAGGACAACATTGCAAGATTAACTGACCCTTCTTAGTTGATACTGGATGAGCGGTGTCATTCTGTTATGTGGTGGGAGTTTGAATAAAGTGTTTCATTTTTAGAGTTGCAGCAGGCATATTGGGATGGCTGATTAATGGCCAATAATTTTTAGTGTTTCATCAATCTGCTCAAGTTGTAATGAGTATTCTATTGTAACTTTTTTCTGGGAACATTATCTCCATCCTCTTTTTGATGGAAGAATGCATCTCTTTAGAAGTTCATGCTGTAAATGTAAGTTATTGTTGAATAATACTTCGCTCATCTCTCTTCTCACTTCATGTCTGTTAAATAGGTTGAGTAATACACTTAAATCTGGAGGCGGCTAAATTATTGGACATGGGATGGATGATTGTTGTGATGTGGTCGAGACTGAAAATCTGACTGTTATCGGTATGTTTTGTGTTAGAGATTCCATTTATTGGCTTTCTTCTTGTTACACTTTTTTAACCAGATTTTGTAGATATAGAATTTAAATTTCAGTAACATGATATATATAAATTTACTCAACATTCTGTAACTTCGCTTTTTCCACAGTGGTTTTTCCACATTTTTTGTTTTACATGGTGTTAACTAGAAGGAGAGTTGAAACAGGGTGAAGTAGGGGAAGTGTGGTAAGAGTTGAGAAGGGGAGGAAATGGCTGAGATTGCTACTATCTGAAGTAGGGAGGTCAAAGTCACTAGACGGAGTTTCTACTGGGCAGCAGCGATAGTGCCAACCTGGGGAAGCATTGGCGGAATGGAGGTCTTCTTGGCATTAGTCAAGTGTTATCTCAGCATGATATTAGTCACGTGTTATCTCTGTATTTTTGTCTTACACTTACGCCTTGAGGCATTCATCACATGAGAAATCAAGATGCTGGATTGAGGAGGAAAATCTGCAGACAGATACAGGGATTGATACATAAAAACTGTCAACAAGCCTGAAGTGATTGACATTATATTGCCCTTATTTATTGAAAGTCTAGAAGAGGGTGATGCTTTAACTCTTGTTATTTATTGACCTTTTTACTTGTGTAAGAAAGAAAAACATGCCTATATTTTTCTTTGCTTTTAGAATTTTAGATCTGGATTTTGTACGGATATTGTTACATTTTTTAGTTCAATTAATAATTACTATTGGAGTTATTTGAGATAGTTATCTTCTATTATGTTTTGTGGTTGATATATGTGAATCACTCTACAAACCAAAAGGAGAAAGAAAAAACCTATAGAAATGATTGTTCAACGTTGCAAAAGAGAGGTTTTTGCAACGTTGAACAATCGTTGCAAAAACTCTTCCCTCAATGACAACATCGACCTTCACAACACACATCAAAACACTGCAAAAGGTCTTTAGCCACATTTTTTGACATTTGCAAAAACCTTTTTTTTTTTTTTTTTTT